ATGTGAAATCCCTATTCGATTCTAGGTTAAAGTAGAGAAGAAGAAGAGGAGAAAGAAGAAGAAGAGAAAGAAGGGTTCGGCCAGATTAGGAAAAATCAGTCCACCTCTAGCCGACCCACTTGTATTTATCTCCAATAACATAGTTACAAGAAAAGACCATATTGTCCCTCATAAGTGATGGGACACATAACTTAAACTTAAATAAAATAGACCTTTCACTCTCAAATAGATAAACACAAATGACCAAAATACCCCTGATTTGTGTATTCTAACAGGTTCCATCAAGTTTTACAGTGGTTATCATAACACTAGAGACAGAGACATTACCCGGAAGCACACCAGAAACAGTCTGTAACTCCTTAGACACATCCATTTGAGTTGGGTAGGCCTTTTAACAGTTCTACAACACTCCAACAACCAACCGACACACACAAGACTCACAAAAGATGGGAAACACTCAGTTGGAATCCAATGGGAGGCCCAAAACTTACCTGACAGCAATATATAAGGGAAAAAAAGACCTCCCGGAAAAAGATTAGAGATCATAAAAATGTGGAACCACTTCCCATAGCTTTAGCGACGCCAAATAAACCAAAACCAACAAGTTTCAAGCATGCATCGAACCCATCCAAGGAAGAAAAAATCTACACATCGAACCAGTATTTTTCTGTATTTTCTGATGTAAAACCTGAGAAAAATCATAGACACAACAGATGAAGATAAGAACCAGAAAGATAGGATCAGAAATGAAGTCATTCAAATGAACTTATAAGTAGCTCCAATAGGTGATAAAATGAGATAAAGTATATTAAGATGTTTTGGCAATGTGCACACAAGACCATCAACAGTAAGAAGTGATTTGTTGCAACTTGCAAGTTGAAGGGGCTAGAAGGGCTAGGGTAAGACCAAAAAGGACAAGGGTAGAAGTAGTAAGAAGTGATTTAAATGCCAATAATTTAACAATTGATATGACATTAAAAAGAATGGAATGGTGAAACAGGACTCATGTAGCTGACCCTACAGTTGGGATAAGGCTTGGATGATGATGAAGCAAAATTATCTCCACAGTACTAGTAGATCCCTTGGGGAAAGGGAGACCTTTTAACACTTCTTTTATTTTCGTTTTTTGATAAGCCTTCTTTTATTTTCTTTTTGTACATACAAGCGGGATGGATTGATATGTCTTTGTATATTCCCAGTGAACAGGTTCTTGGTGTACATTAGACTCCTGTATTTCCTTTCTTCTTTTCCGAGGCAATTCTATACTTCATCCTTCTTGTAAAAAAAGATCTATTTGGCAAGGAAAATAACCATATCCAAGAAAGACACTGAATAGAAAGTAAAAGATAGAAGGAAGTGAAAGCTTTGAAAGTGACCTGCTGACCAAACACAATGCGACCTTCACATTTACCAGAAGTTGCAGAAAAAAGTGGATATGTGTAATTTCTCAACTGAGCAACAAGAGATCCAGCATGCAAATTAATGTTACTTCCATACAGTCGGGAAAATGGTATATCCTTTTCTTGGCAGATAGGATCAAGTTTCTTTATAATCTCTATCATCGCAACATCACCACCTTCAATTTTTTTCAATGTAACATCCAACTCTGTAGCACAAACGGACAGAAGGGATGTTCTAGAAGTACTAAACTTGAACCCAGCCTGGAAGTCTTTCTTAAAGGCACCTGATCCTTCAGTTAGAACCAGATTCTGACATGACTGGTAGTAAGATTGGAAAGTTTGTTTATGAATTTCTTCTTGAACTTTTTCTACAGCTGAAGCATCCTGCAAATTGATCTCAGTTCCATCATAATAAATCTTTCTTTGAAGACAAGGTTCATTTGATTCAGAAACTTCACAAGATTGGCTGCTTTCTGAGACTAGGTCATCAAGAAACTTCAATCTAAGAGCTAATTCACAGGCCTCATTCTTCATCAGATGATAATGTTCATCAAGCCAACCCTGCAATGGCTCTTCTTCAATTTCTGCCTTGAGCTTACGTATGCAGAATCTAATACATCCAAACTTTTCTGAACTAGACTTTTTTGGTTTTGAGCTTTCTTTCTTTATTGGAAATAAAATATTAGTTTTAGCATTTGTTATAAGCTTCAGACCTCGTAACATATCCTCAACTGCATCATCAATAGCACGTAATTGCAGCCGATAAGGCATGCAAATATGAACATCAAATCCTTGAATAACCCAATCCCATGTCATGATTGCCTGGACTTTTGAATCAAATGAACTATTTGATGCATTAGGAATACGGGAAATTTGCATTCGGCTACTTTTGAAGATTCTGGCTTCATTAAAACTAACCATAAGTCCTTCCAATAGTACTCCAATTCGGGCATTCTCAGAAAAAATTGACTGCACCTGAACTTCTGCTTCTACACCATCACCCGCACCAGCAGATATATTCAACATATCCACATCAATAGCAAAAACAGATTCTCTTCTTTTTTGTTCCTTATCAGATGGTCTATGGTCAACTTTAGTTTCTTTTTCTGGTTCCAAGGTTTTCCCACCTGATATTTCTTCCTTCATATCACTACTATTAATCTCCTTAAGCTTCTCATTCTGCACCAATAACTTCAAGCGCAGCATAAGTTCAATTAGTGATAAATGAACATCAGGTTCCCACCTGACAGAAATATCAGTTGCACTGAAAAGGGAGCAGATAACCTCACTAAGTCCACCAGAACGGCGTACAAACTTTGCATTCTGCATATCAAGCAAGGTAACTTCTGCACTAGACCTATGTTCCTCCAAAAATTCCTGGTAAATAGACTTGGCTCTTTCGATCTCCATCTGTATGGATTGTTTCTCCTTGTTCACACGCAAATTGAAATGAATGATGTCAAGAGATATAGAATAGTTCAGGTGTTTGCAATCATTGGGTGTCATGGATATTATGTTTGCCCTGCGTGGTGTACCATCAGCTAAGACACTGATTACAACCTCACCACCCTGTGATCCATAATTTACACGCTTGGGGTCTGCAACAGTAGTATTTTCAACACCAACATCACCACAGAAAATTACTGAACATCGTTCAAGATGAAGTTTCAAGAGCCTGGTCCCTTTTCCTGACGACTTGGCAGAACGCCCAGTGATGTTCTGTTTCATTCTTTTCCCTGGAGCAGACATACTTTTAAAGAGCTTTTGAAAGGACATGGCTGCTGATATAAGAAATTCAACACGTTGAATGCTAAAGTATACACCCATTCCAGTCACATCAACATAGAGAACCAATTTATGCTTATTGGGATTCTTTTCAACTGATTCCATGTCCTTTTTCCCCCAATCCAGATTAACCTTTGCTACATGCACCAGGGATCCCGAATTTGTTTCCATACCAAACAGGCTTTCCTTCAACAATTCTTGATGTTCATCTGTCATCCGCAAATATAGCTCACCAAGTTCCATAAGCAGTGCAACACCTGTGCTTCCAATATTATTTGCAGACATATGTAAAGATTGTGAACATCCCTGCATAAGAGATTAAAAAATTATTATGATTTCCCATGCAAAAGATTAATAAACCTATGCTGGAAATTTTCTTTTTTTTTTCACTTTTGGGGATGGGGGATTTTGGACATCAGTTGTATCGTTTGCTTAAAAATCAAACTATGTATAATCACATTTCTCCTTAATGACAACTGAAAAAAATTTAGAACCAAGAAAGGTATGACTACATAGATTACTGGTTTTCATACATTTTTTCATTAAGCAAAAAAAAAAAAAATCATATAAGAGAGTGAACATCAAGAAGACACCACTCACAACTATTGAAACTGCAAAGAGATATAAGGAAATAAGACTTTCTTACTCACGAAAGAAGAAAAAATGTATCAATCAATCATTAAAAACCCTACAAGGGGATAGCCCATCCCCTGAAATCCTTAATTTAATACACTGTCAGCATTTTCAGTCTCACTGATGTAGGACAATGGCTCAATGTAAATCTTACTTCACCTTTTTAAAAAGGAAAAGTCTCAATAAACCGTCACAGTGATAATTCCTATATCTTTCCAGTTGTAGATTAACAAGTATTGGTAACAAGATAAGTTTTTTTTTATGAGTAACCTAGATTTATTACTTATGAATAACAATGATTTATATACAAAGGATCTGCCAAGTAGCCCTTTTCTCAGATCAGTAAAGCTACCTGACCCAGCATATATCTCAATCTAATTACCACTGTGCCAAGAAAATTCCATCTCTTTTAACCCCACTTTTAGCTAATGTGTCTGTCAGATTGTTGACCATTCTTGGGACCCAAGACACCCTAGTGATTAGTCCCCCTACTAGGCTTAGTTGTTTTTGTTGAAGATTAATTAGTTTTATGATGTTTTTCTGAGTAGATGTTTTATGTTAGTTGTTAGATAGGAGGTGGGGACCACAGTAGTTATGTGAGTCCAAATTTTATTATGTTTTTTGAGTGTTATATATGCT